TAAATAAATAAATAAATCTTTTTTTTTTGGTACATGGACCTTCCGGTTTCCGGATCCACAAGGGAACCGACTAATCCGAAATCGAGCAGGGTATGACCACAAGGGCTGCAAAACTCTCCCTCAAGAGTTTTAACACTGCTGCATTTCCAGGGCTCGAACACGAGACCACTGGTTAAGCTGGAAGAGACCCAAGTCATCTCATCCAAGCGCTCTTAGGTATAATAAATAAATCTTTGATTATTGATATATACTACTATCAACTTCATAACAGTATACACTCAACAAAATAAAATAAAATTTAATAATCTTGCATAGACGTGAAAATAGATAAGATTCACATATAACATTCCAAAAGTAAATTGCTAAAGTGCACAATATAATGAATATAGTAAATCATTGTTTCCAAGAAATAACAAGACAACGTTCTTTACTCATTCACAATTTGTAACTAAACATGTTCAAGACAACCAAGAATGGAGAGTTGATTCTCTCTATGGAGAGCTAATATTCTCTCGATGGAGACCTTTATTCCTTCTTAGGTAGGTTTCCCGTCGGAGAGGAGTGTGTTGTGGGTGTGAGAGTAGGAGGGTTTTGTTTTGTGAGGGTGGGTTGAGTGTGGGTTCTGGGGGTTCTGATTGTATTTTTCTATTTCAAGGGTTTCTGGGTGGGTGCTTGGTGTTTCTTTGGAGAGGTTTTTTTGGTTTGGGATTTGGTGTAATGGAGGATCCTGGGGCGGGTGCTGATAGCTCGGTGGATTTTACCGAGGAGCTGGGAGGCAAGATGAAGAAAATAACGATATCTGAATCTGAATTCAAGCTCATTGAGTTAATTGAGGAAGATACCAGAATTGGCGACGAAGAATGCCATCGAAGTCTCTTTGGTAAAGTTATAGGGGATAGAAGGGCCTCACTAATTGGCATTAGGCGCACTATGGGAGCTATCTGGCAAATACAACATCCTCTGGTTGTTAAAGAGTTAAAAACGATTTTTTTCCAATTCATATTTGGTAGTGA